GCCAGCCCATGTTACAAATTGACCGTAAACATAGTTCCGCATCAAGTTGTAATGCTATGCCTTGTTTTGCCTTAATTTTCCGCATAACACATACTCCTAAATTAAACCACGCGCGATTTCACAGCAGATATTTGATTCTAGACTTTAAATTAAAGCTCTAAAGATTAAAATGCTAATAAATACGTAGTCTCGAAACTATTTCAGTGGAACTTGACGGTTGAGAATTTAAAATTTTGCCAGATTAAGTTTCTCGCGGAAGCTTGACGACTTTGGCATTAAAAAGGCGTTGAAAAAGTTGAATTAGTCTTTTATTTGATATTCGGGATTTGTTCTAGAAAATCAGAAGCATTTTATATTAATTTTCTTTGGCGGTAATAAAGTAAAAATACAAAGATAAATTATACTTATAGAATTACTTCGGGCCCTGAAAATAATCCGTTGTTTTATTACACAGCAATTCGTATTAAATGAAAGTACTTAATTGTAGGTATTTTTCTAAGCAAAACTCATAGAATAAAATTAAAGGAATTACTATATAGAATAATCATGTTTTTGAGGAAAAAGAAACAGAGTTTTCATGTAGTAGTTTTTTGTTTTTGTAACAAGCGACAAGCATGCTTCTTATGAATAAGAGTCTCGTTGTAACTTGAAACTTACAGAGCTTTTCACGGCTAATTCACATTTTACCTAAAATTATTATTTTCAATAAATTGACAAAATAATCGATCAAATCTCGCACACGTTATCCGCACAATAACAAAACTTTATTCAGAAAATATTTTAAATTTACACAATCTGAACAAACCGAATCATTCTGTGGCTTCAGGGCGGTACGACTGTCAACTATTTTCTTTGTACAATACAATATCCAAGCAAGTGCTTTGTAATGGAGCGAAAGGAGTTATCTCACTATGTTGTGGCTTGACAACGCAAAATTCAGAGACCTTTGATAAAATCCCATTGTCTCCGTGAGCGAGTATATTATGGACTCGTACTTTACGTTTAAAATGATTTTTGGATAATACTACTTAAATGAAATTTGGCGGGAAATAATTCTTGTGTTGTGCTTTATCATGGTGATGAGGTTACTAGAGATTCAGTGTTTCTCCCTCTCACCCCAAGTCCCCAAATCCCTAATCCTTAAATCGTTAACAGCACACAAAATGTTGTTTAGCTTTGCAAGCCGCCATGGAAACAAAAGGATGTAACTCCGAAATTCTCGGGCGGCACCGATCGCTTAAGTACCATTCGTCGTCAAATTGATAGTCGACCCGAGTATAAAGGCGCGTAGCGTTCCGCGCGCTTTTTTTAAGAAGTCACCAATAGATCACCACAGATGGGGCAAATTAGGGCCGATGGGCATGCAAATGGGCTGGTTTTCAGTCAATAAGAGTCTGCAACTCCCTGTTGCCTCACCCTGGGCGAAAAAAGTCATTTTTTTTATGTAATAGGTCGGCAAACGAGCAGACGGATTACCTGATGGTAAGCAATCAGCACCGCCCATGGACACTCGCAACGGAGGAGTCACGAGTGCGTTGCCGACCTTATAGGGATTAGGGATTCGGATATTTAGGGATTGAGGAGGGATTGGGGAAGGGGAAGGATTGGGCCTCCGGTAACCTCACTCACACGGCGAAACAACGCAGTGGTTATGTCACTAGTATCACTCCAGTCGAGCCGACCCATTCGTGCCGAATTGATAATTTTTCGCCCTAAAAGCAGCTTGATTGCCGATTTATCGTATAATAAATTGAAAAGACTAATATAAATGTTGAAAGAATGAAAATAGTATAGCACAAATATGCCATTGACCTAGTATTACTTTTTGTTTGTGCTCATTCTAGTAGTAGAAAATATCAATTTTTAAGTACTGCAAAGACTACCAAGATTTTTAACTTTATAGGTTTTGTTATAAAGTCGATTTTTGTATCGTAATATCGGTTTAGGATATTCTTATATTAGGAAATCCATTTTTCAATTACATTTTGGAGTCTTAAGAAATCTTTTATTGAACATTTTCTAAATCTTATACCCAATAATACTTTATCTGACTTGGGTATTGAAAAGCTTTTGTGCGGAGCTCTTGCAATCTTTAGATTTATTTTATTAGATCCTGTTTCTTTAAAATCTTTGTACAGATCAACAGCTTATACTGAACATTGTGAACCTTAATTATATTCCTAAACGAAACATCATGCTTCTAACTTTTGTAAGCAATCAGCGCCGCCCATGGACACCCGCAACGGAGGAGTTACGAGTGCGTTGCCGACCTTTTAAGGATTAGGGATTTGGAAATTTAGGAACTGGGGAGGGATTGGGAAGGGTAAGGATTGGGCCTCCGGTAACCTCACTCACACGGCGAAACACAACACTGTGGTTGTTTCACGCCGGTTTTCTGTGAGGCCGTGGTATCACTCCGGTCGAGCCGCCCCATTCGTGCCCGAAGCATGGCTCTCCCACACTTAAAGTCATTTGACTTGAGTGTCAGTCTCAATAACTAAGAAGTATTCCGTTCCTTATCCTGCTCCAGGAGAGGTCCAGGAGGCTCTGGTCGGCGAGTTATCCTTGCTCGTTGTCCAAAATGTGCAAATAGATACATTAAATTAATATAACAGTCACATTTCAATAGTAGTCAAATTTGATAGGACTACTTATTGAAAATCATTGTAATTTCCAATTTAAATACAGACCTATATAATACTTCGACTAACTAAAATATTTCAACTATGGCCACATACAGTATATATAATTATTATAATTAACAGTCGCATTAACAAAAACTCTTCTAATGAAAAATGTATAATTACGAAGCAAGCCAAAAAAGTGCAAAAAGATCAACATATTTTATCAAAATATTTGTGTAAAAGGGTTTGACGTGAAAAATAATGTTTTATGGTCATTAATCTTCAAAAAAGGTCCTGGGTCCAAGGTGGGCAAAGTAATGGAGTTCTGTTGTACTGTTCTGAACTGAGGAGTTTGGATGTCCCAACCCCTTGACGGCATTACATAAAACATTTGCAACGGGAGATGGGACGGAAAATAAATTGTACCTAAATTATGGGATATTTTTTGCCTTTTTTGACAAACACTGTTCAAAATTTCTCCTTAAATATGAAATTTGATATGGTGATAAGAATACTGCAATAAGCTAGTCCTCTTCCTAAGAAAACTCATTTAAAAATGATTTACTAACTTGTCTGTTTGTAATTTTAAACAAGTATAAAATATCAAAATACCCACACAATACGGATCTGAAATGTAAACAAAAGATAACATAGCAAGCAAAGTAACATGGTTTAGAAGTAGTTTCAAAATTAAACTGACAAGCGTTGGCAGTAGTATGTTCCCTAACCCGCTATTACTTTCAGCAGCTTAACTAAATGGTTTACGCTGCTGTCTGTCTATCAACAAGCCCTCGTTTTACGTTGCACCGCGCCAAAACTAAAAGCTAAAAGCAAAAATGTCATATTGCGTCTATCATTACTTTATTACTGCATCTTGCCTGAAAAAATGTTACCAAGTTTGTTCCGCGTGGTGTTACGTATATTTATATGTATAGGGATGGTGTAACAAAAATATCCTAAATATAATCTGAAACATTAAAATTTTTAAAATTAGGTTATAATTTCTCGTGTTTGTCTTTTTTCTCATTTTTTCTGGTAGAGTATAATATGCCCTTGCTTTAACATCATAAGAGACGTGTTTGTGATTTAATAAAATAATACTTTTACTATATGATAAAATATACCAATTCCAGATGTCACACTATATTTCAAATCAATAGTCAGTTGAAAGCATGTGATTACGTAAATAAAGAAAAATAATGTTTTTAAATAATTTTAATGTCCGACATTCAAATAAAAATTCACCATCATCCTATTGTAGTTTGTAACGCGCTCAAGACACAGGAGTAAATCCTAAGCGTGTTTTTTTTAAAGATGAAGCTTTTTTATAAAATTTCTTTTTACGTACACTAGAATTCCAAATTGACTGCACGATTGGCGCGGTGCCTGGGCAACTGGCTGAAGGCGCAACGTGTCGCGGGTTCGATTCCCAAATTGTATGTTTGTAAACGCACTCACGACACAGGAGAAAATCCTAATGTGGGGCAAAGTTTAAAAAAAAAATGTAAACTTGGGTGATAAGAAGTACATACTTACTAATATTTAATTAATTTTTTATTTGCCCTTTAAATATGTATCTGAGTATTGCAAAATAAAGGGCCCAGGCTTTTTACAATTTTATTTGATTCAAATGACTCAACGTTTGTATCTTCGGAAGATCAATTCCATATGTATTTCACTAAAACTCTGAAAAAATGGAATCTGTATGTGAAACTGATTTAAAAAGAGTAACCATGGAGTTTCTTGCTCGTTTTTCTCCATCGGAATCTACACTTTGGAACGAGCAAATAGCTTCACTAAGAGGACTGACCGACAGACTGACTATATCTTCAAAATTTTTTTTGACGTTCAAAAGTGCCTGTAATTGGAATAAATGATTTTTTACTTTTTTTGACTCTGTTGTCTGTTGTATCTGTACCTACACTTTAATATTAATCTCATAAAACAATTCCTAACTCCTGGTCAAATATTCTGGAACTTTTCAACTACACTTCAGGTTTTAGGTAAAAAGCAGTGAAAAGTTCCCCTATGGAGGCATAACCTCTTCAGCGTAAATTGCCAGCTGCTATATATAGATACTACTACATACATAGGTGCTACTAATATTTTTTTAGTTATATACCTGTGAGACACGCTGCTAAGTGACAGTAGGGTATAAAAAAGCGGCTTCAATAAAGTGAAATGACCTGATAAAATGATGAGCTGCTGGATGCTAGACGCTTTCAATGTCATGGGCCAATCTGAAAGTCAATAACTGAGGCATGTTGTATGTTCAACAGAGCCCATCGTGTGGTGATTAAGAGGATGGTGAGCTTTATTTATAGCTTTATTTATTACCCGAGCAAATTTTTAAATTGAAGTGGCAGTATACAGTGCATGCAACTGTGGGAGAGCCATGCTTCGGCACGAATGGGTCGGCTCGACCGGAATGATACCACGGCCTCACAGAAAACCGGCGTGAAACAACCACAGCGTTGTGTTTCGCTATGTGAGTGAGGTTACTGGAGGTCTAATGCTTCCTCTCCCTCAATCCCTCCTCAATCCCTAAATCTCGAAATCCCGAATCCCTTAAAGGTCGGCGACGCACTCGTAACTCTTTCGTTGCGAGTGTCCCTGATTGCTTACCATCAGGTAATCCGTCGGCTCGTGCCGATCTGTAACATAAAAAAAATGCAGGGCAGAGCGGAGTAACTAAACTACCAGGGTAAAAAAAAAACTTGAATGAATGTTAATCCAAAGGTCGACGGACGACTTAAATAAGATTGCATGAGGTCACTGGATGCACATGGTCTCCAAACAGCCTACCTAGAACTCATTGGAGGTCTATGTTCAGCAAGGACGTATTGTGGCTGATATGATGATGATAAGTTGAGCGTTCTGAGAAGTTCAAAAAATATTTTCATTATTTAATAATTTACTTTTATTATATCGTCTACCCACTCAATTATCCAATACTTTACAACGATGTTACTTCCCCACAAGGTCTAGCCTACAACAACATTATTGAATTTAGTTCTCAGTCAATCAACAAGACAATAATAAATTTGATTCATTATCCATTGGACTTAGTAAATTGTTTCAGCGTACATATTCTTAACCAGTATACAGACTTAATGTTTATTTAAGGTTCTCTTAGGTAATGTAGGTTCGTAAGCGGTTTTGAAGTTTTAGGAGGAAGAGAAAGGATATAGGATAGTTTTTACACCAAAAATCTGCAGAAAGTCACTATTCCATGCGAACAGAGTCGCGGGGAAAGCTTATACACTTTCATAAAACGTTTTTCAATATAATCTGTAGTGATGACCATTCTTCAGATTGATAACTATTTATTTTAATCTAGGTTTATTACGAGTGGAAGAGACAAGCGATAAATTATAAAATCGCATAGTTCTAATGCACAGGTCACATCTCAGAAGAATCAAAATAAAACTGCTCTGCTCAAAAGTTCTGAACTGACAATAAAACAGCTGTATATACCTCAGAGCAATCTCTTACTTTTATTTCAACAAAATTTCGTCAAACAACAATAAAAATGTTGAAATTACTTCAATATATCACAGGGGACGACTAACTCTATTAAAAATATCGTCTGGCTTGCTCTATCAAATTGTACAGATTCCTGCAAGATGTTTGTGGTGAATCTTGTCCTATTCACAAGATTATATTCTAGGTAACACCGTGGAATTTGGAACGCACTAGGTGTTCTAGCTGTTGCTTTTTCACCCTATCTACTCATAATTGTAAATTAGCTGACGGTATGATTTTATTTAATATTAATTGTGATCTATATTGTATTCTATATAATTAACGTATGAGGCAATGATTTTTACTTAATTTAATCCTCTTGCAAACGCAAAAGAGAATTACAAAGAGACTAAGATCGATCATACGATCGATCTTAGTCTCTTTGTACCACCAATATAAGAATAAAAAAGTTATGATACAGTTACTCAAAGCTTTCAATTTGATTAATATTATTAAAAAAAAGATTTCCTCATGGCGAAAATGTCTGTAAAGTGTCAAGTATGGAGGGACACCACATACAATTTCACATATACATCACACCCAGACCCTGAACAACAACTTATGGATGGTACAAAAAGTTTGTTTTGTATCATCCATAGGTAAGGAATAGATACCACAAACACGTTGCATGACAACCGGTTGCCTAGCCACCGTATCAACTATGTAGTCAATTCAAAGTTCACATAATCAATTCGTCAAAAACCACAACGTTTTTCCGACCTAGTGCGTCCAACCCAAATCTCCAAGTGACAAGCGTCAACATTTATCAGTGTCTCACGACAAACGACAGCAATTAACATTCCGCAACCATTGTTAGCGACTGCGACTGGTTGCTGCAACTATTGTGTGGATAGCTGAGGTGTGGCGCTCAGTCGTATGATGAATAGTCGGATTTGTGTTCGCCGTGTTATTGCTTGGTTGTGGTTACCTGGTAGGGATAGATTTTGTGGATCAAAAATTTGTTTAATTAATTGTAATTTCTTTCTGATTCTTGGATTTCCTCCTGTGTTGTGGGTGCATTGAGAAACAAAAAATGTTATCGGGAATAACAATTTGTGCATCAAGATTATTTTTGGATCCCTGCAGGAACCAGCGACAAATTGCACGGACGTGAGTTACCCAGGAACCGCGTCGTCAGTTAGTGTGTACCGTGTAGTCAGTTAATATATGATTAACTAACTAATGTATCAATGTACGTAATGTAAGATTAACTAACAAAGCAAAGTGTGCAGCGACGTCGCGCAGCCGACTGGCGTCACTACAACGCGTACTATACGCTGCTCATGGATAAAAATCCCGTTGTAATTTAGACTAGTAATGTTTTTAACAAAAATTTATATTATAAAGATTGTTTTCAAATCCATAAGATGATGTGTTTATAATAGTTTGAAAATTATAATACCAGTCATTGTCTTTTCCATCGTCATTGGGTATTTATGGCATACAGATCAAAATATATATATATATATTTTACAATCTTATTTAACTAGAAACGTATGTTTATAATATACAGATGTACTAACTTCAACAGATTGAGCTAAAAATTGGTGGTAAACTAAACTAACGTTTAGTTTGCATGATCATAAATGTTTAGCTGGACGACTTTACTCTAAATCCATAATAATGTATCCGAATTGTTTACTTCTGGGACCCAAAAAAGCTGGTTTTTAAAAACTATATTAGATCATCATTTTCCGTGACTAATCAACTACTAATTTTAAATAAATTTCTTATTTCAAAAACCAATACCAACAAACTTCAACGATTCTCGAACTCTGAAACACGAATCTGATTCACTAAGAATGATATTTATAGAAATATTCGTTCAAACTTAATATTATAAATTATAGGCATCGTAAAATTTGTCGTCCATTGTCAATTTGTCAAAGAGATCGGAGTCAGAAACACTTTTCATTCGGAAATTGAACTTGAAATTGAAGACAGAACTGATTTAAGATTTATTTTGTTGATAATTTTAATAGAATGAATGAATGAATGAATGAAAAGTCGTTGTGTAAGCTAAAACTCATTAAGTTTATTTAATTGGTTTAATTTATTTAACTAGGCTACTTTCTGAAGATGTAAGTAAGAAAATTTGATTGTTTGTAAACGCTCCCACGACACATGAGAAAATCCCAGTGAGTTTACAAAATAACAGTCCCTCTCAGGTGGTTTTTCTGTATTCGTAAATACCCTATCATGCATTAATTAAGGGTAAGTACTTTTAGTGACTTTAAAGATCTAAAAGTATCGAGGTCAAAGGGACATCACAATTAAAAATAATCTGATAAGATACTAGAAATTTTCTAAACTGTTCGCACAACTTAAATTAGCATCGAGCCCTAATGATATAGTTTTAATTTAATTTTTCAAATTAAGAACGTAAGATCTGAATCTTAATCAAAATTAAAATAAATGTAATAAAAAAACTTTTTAAATACTAACCTTTTTTATGTTGGTTATAAGGCCCTAGACGTAACAATGTTAAAGACGTCGCTATTGATTTACAATAAAAATACATTTAATTATAATTCATTTAACTATTAATGGTCTTGCAAATAAAACTTTGTATGTAAAAGTTCAGCCCAATCAACTAAACATATCTGAATCAATTTTTTTTTTATTTGCTAGGTCTGCAAACGAGTCTGCTCGTTTGGATCTGGATTACCTGATGGTAAGCAATCAGCGCCGCCCATGGACACCCGCAACGGAGCAGCTACGAGTACGAGTGATTCGGAGATTTAGGGATTGGGGGAGGGGAAGGATTGGGCCTCCGCGCCGGTAACCTCACTCACACGGCGAAAAACAACGCTGTGGTTATTTTACGCCGGTTTTCTGTGAGGCCGTGGTATCACTCCGGTCGAGCCGACCATTCGTGCCGAAGCATGGCTCTCCCACACTTAAGAGTTTGCTGCAAGATTTTAATCTGAAATTGACTGACTCAATTGTTTATGTTATAATTCGGCAAACGAGCTGACGTATCGCCTAATGGTAAGCAATTTGTGACACTTTTGAACACCAGAGGACTTACAAGTGCGTTTTTTTTTTAATGATACGGTTTAGAAAATTTATTGGTTGGAAATGTAGAGATAGCAAGATTGAGATTCTTCTATCAGTAACCTCACTTATTTGGCAAAACCAACATTGAACACTACTAGGTGTATCAACATCAGTAAAAAATAGGAATAATGAAAAATCCCTTACATAAGTCACTATAATAATTGTAACCAACCATTTTAATCGAACTAACCACAACAAACACACACAAGACTAAAAATAGCAAACACAAGACTTACTATGTAGACTTAAATACCACAATACCTTGTCGTAAATAAAATAATGAAACTTTTAATAAGTGTTCAACGGTGCTTAAGTTTAGTAGTTAGGTTTAGTGCAGTCATAATTGAAAGGTCTGCTGTAATAGGAGAAGCGATTAAGTATATGATGGTGGTAAACAGACCGGGCGTAGTGACCGCTGCTATATATCGCTAGGGAAAGCACTGGGTTCCGCTTGCGTTCAACAATGTTGCTGAATACGGAGTAATAAATTGAAGTACATAATAATATGTACATACTATGTAGTGTGTGTAATCTACTTCAATAGTGGAGTAGTAGTTAGTTATTAGTTAGTTGTACGCATGGTCTTTACATTTACAGTTTTGTTTATTAGTGCCGGCACGCCCCTTCGGGCGGCTGTCTAAAAATATCGGTATGTCATTTATTATTTAGCTTATCGCCATTGCTTTGAAATATCGAAAGGAGTGTAATCTGTCAATTTTCTAATTAGAAATTATTATAAGTCCAGGTTTCCTCACGACCTCGGAGAAGTGATCGGCGGCGGTGACCTCTCGCGCCTGGCCTTTGTCAAGGCCATGGTTCGTAGCGACAGGAACTGGGAAGCCGTCTCCTTTTTCTGCGAAGCCGTGATGCTCGCAAAGGAAGGGGCACAGCGAGGTGCAGCAGCACGGTGTGAGGGAACTATACTACTATAACTATACTCCTCACGACCCAGAAGCTGCAGTAGGCGACATTCCGGACGTCGGGGATCGAAAGACGATATCTGGCCACCGTAATAGCGGGCCTCCGGACGGCGAGTTAGGGTTGCTCGCCGCCCGACCAGATCCAGATCCCCGTTCAGATCCAACGACCCGTACGGCGCGTAGCGTTCGCCTCAAAGAGCCAATAGACCACCACAGACGGAGCTCTATAGGGTTTATGTTCAGCCTGGGTTGCGGGTTAAGCGTAATGTTTTACCGCGGCCGCGGCTCAGAGCAGGAGAAAGAACGGCGGAGTTTTTAGTCAAAAAGAGTTTGACATTCTCTCTCTCTCTCCTTACCCTGAGCGGGAGATGTCACTTGATGATTTTCCCCTGACAAAAAACGGTTTCCTCCCGACGTTTTCCTTCATTATTCAAATTCAACTTCTTCAAATCTCATTCAGAATTTCGTTTCAAAATCAGAACAATACCAAGATACCACTAACTTTTATGCTATCTATATAATTAAATAAAAAAATTCAGATACTCTTGCACACAAACTATCATATTATTATAATGTGTATACCTATGTATTATGTATATAACATACATGACTGAATAGGGCTTCGTAGAAATCATCATCTGTTATTGTTAAATAGAAACATTTTCCACGTAATTATTACATACAGAAACTAGAATCTCCTTTCTCATATCGATGAAACTAAACTGGTAGGAACCAGTTATGTTAGTGGAACCCCGGATTATAACTTAACGACACTACTGTAAAATAGCCAGTAATGAAATTGTGTTGCACGCCAGCCACTCGTATGCTGCATGTTTATGACCATTCCGTATAATGTACAGGTAAACTTAGGTCTGGTTTATACAGAATAATAACTATTAGTTCTTTTAATTACGGTTTCAGTAAAATGAAAGTACATGAGACGGCTTGCTCGTAGTAACTAACCGAAAAAGCTCTACTAATTTCAAGCTATATCGGGATACTTATTTATGCGATTAAGCGTATGCGCTGCTATGATACCCGTTGTGACTTGGAACTATTAAATATTTTCTCAGTTATTTCATATAGTGTTATGTATATTTTATAACTTGATAGGTTGAAGACGGACGGCCTTATAGTGAGCAATCGGCGCAATTTAAGACACTCTCAATACCAGAAGAGTAACGAATGATATGTTTTTCGGAGATTTAGAGATCGGGGAGAAAACTTTAACCAGATATAGAACAAAGTCAAATACTTGGCTAAATTTTGTAACAGTGGTAACGATGATCAAAGCAAGGTATCAACACCGAATCAATCGTACTATATCACCAGGTTAACATAACTATAGTGTAGTTTGTTAAATATAAATTTTGCCCAAAATTATCCCCAAATAATTGGCCTCTTTCACTAACATATTGTAAACATAATTTATATACTACATAAAAATGAAAAGAACTTAAACGATCATGAAATGAGCCTACAACGAAAATGCAACCTTATAACAAACCACTTAAAAACCATTATTAAAAAATACACAAGTAACTCTTAAAGTCTAAAACTGAAACTTATTTTTAATTATAAGCTTTAACGATTGTTTCGTGACGTCATAGTGATTTTAAAAGTTTTATGGACCTTCTTAATTAGCACGCAACGCACAGCATGCGACCGATTGTAAAACGTCGCAGTCGGGTCCCTTTTGCGTGTCATGCTCGGATTTTTAATCACGTTAGTACTAAGGCCTGATTTTCGGTAATTATTGAAGTGTATAATTATTTATTTTTAAAGGAAATCTACAGCAGCTTTCACCGATATGCCATTTTTTGTGGAGGAAAATCATATAACAACGTGGGACCAGATGAGTGTAAGACTATTGCTAACTAAATTTAGACTAACGACTTAATGACAACGACAAATGACAAGTTCAAAGCCGGGCCGCGGTTGCGCCCACAAGTTTGACTGGATACCGACCTTAGCGGTCTGATGGGTCCTTGAGGCGCACACCACGACCAATTCTGATTCTAAGGCGAGATACCTTTACTCGCCGTCCATGGACACATATTCTTTGATAAGCCTGTACCTTTTAAGCTACGATCTCCCACCCTAGTGCTTGGTTTTAACTCTTTTTTGTTACAGATAATTTGTCTAATTGATGGTGATGAATGAAAACTATTTTTTTTCTTGTTGGTTCCAAAATGTAGGTTTATGTTCGAAAAAACTTTTCTATTGTTATCAATGAAACAATGAATTTATTTTTACACAGGTACGTCGATTCTATAAAATTTGATTGATTTTGAATCTTGTTCGAGTGTGAAGTGAGCATTCGAAATGACGGGGAAATTACAGTATAGAATGCCACTCTTAACGTCATCTCATACTTCATCTACCAAAACGTTGTAGTTCAACTCGCAAGTGCAGCGCTAGTCACAGCGGATTCAGATTCGAAGTTTATAATGAAGTCTTACAGAATCACACAGCACGTCAATATTAAATAAATGAAGTCCTAAATCTATACTCTGAGAAAAAATGCCGAGACCATCGCACGCATCGCACGTGGTCGTTTACAACATCAAAAGGGGTAGGTTGGTGGCCTTTTGTGGATTAAGGATTTGAGGTTAGGAATGGAGCCACACCCACTCGGTGAACCAAAATGGCTACTGTCTACAGTTATCGTACTATACAGCTAAGTAATTAAATCGTTAAAGGCAATTAATAAATCATTAACTTTGAGACTCTGATCAAGAAATCAAACGGTTACTTTTATTTACATTTGTAAATATTATTACCCCTTCTTTTTTTTCGTAGGGGTATTAATATCATCAAGTGATTTCTCACGCCCTCAACTGGCACGAGAGGATGTTTCAGACTATGACTGACTAAAAACCACCTTGTTCCATCAACTACTCCAGGCCGAAGCCCCGGGATATGATTGAGCTTGCACTTGCGTTCCAGGCGCAACAAATATTTTTACGCAAAAAATTGCTACTACGATGAATATATGTTTTATTAAAGAAATAAACCAATCCCATTTATCACAACAAATCCCAAATAAAACATTTTATTATTTCTATGCAAATGAATCCTTTGTTTAAAATACTCCCTTTCTTTACGATTTACACAAATATTAACTTTAATTTATTATGGATAGCGTGCGCCGTGCATAGTTTATGATTCCTTATAAATTTCTCTTATAAGTACTAAAATTAAATAAATGACTCCAATATCAAAATTTAAGTAATTACAAAATAGAAAAATTCAGTGTACCGCGCCTCACGGTCATAAATCCTACTTTTAATGGCTATTTTATTACTATGGAGAAACTATTATTGCACAATTTTGAAGTTACCTGCCTAATTACAGAAATGGCTTTTGATTCACTATAATTAAGTGTGAAATTCGTGAACAAAATGTTTAAAATGTACCTTAACACGAAGGGTATATGGTGGGAATTCTCTTGTTAATCTTCTCTTACTGCGGCACAATTGCGATTATTACTAACTGTTTGAAATTGCATAGAACGGGTACGTTACAGTATAAAGGCGGCAAAAGATTAATTAGTCTGATTGAATAATGACGCTGGCAGTTATCTGTGGTACTATTGTGTGGAGAAGTGGAAACCTTAGTAATTTATAGTATGAACACTTCAACGTAGCGTGGAGGAGTAGTCCTAAAGCAGTCCTTGAAAATAAATATCATGCAATAAAAAACATAATATCACACCACAGCAAATTATTGTGCCCACTACTGAGCCTTTTCTCACGCTAAAAAGGTTTGAGGACTAGTCACCATGGTGGCTCAAGGCGGATTCGCGATTTCATTCTTATAAAAAGCATAAGTCATACTCTCGTTTTTCTATACCTACTCCTCACTATTATATTCACATAATTATATTTATTTAATAAATAAAAGACTCACCGTCACCGCTCGAGTTTTGTTGCGAGAGTTGATCGCCGATTATCATAGCATTTGTTCAGTTTCACGTCACGCAAAATTCTGGTTTTTCCCTCAATAGTAACTCAATACCATCGTAGTGATGGTGCACGTAGTTATGGTGCAAATGAGCGTTAAACTGTGCAGCAGTATTTAAGTAACCAATGCGACACCCTGCTCACCCGCAACTTCCGAGATTATTGTTGCGATTTTATAGTGTATTATTTTGCAAGTACCAACATTAAATTATGACATATATTTACCTATATTAAAATATATATATATATACTATTGAACAGGTAAAAAGTAATCTTAAAAAATAAGTTATATTTAACATATAACTATTTAATTATATTTTAGTATTATAATATTCTTATCTCTCTTTTCTTTTATTTTCCCCTGGACTGATCACTAGAACCCGCAAGTCTTAAAACTAAGATATTTTGTCATAATGCAGATTAAGATGCTCTAATTACTAGTAACTAGTAGATAGTATGTGTTGCATTCGTCCGTGCGTCACTGCAGGGGTGCCAACTGAAAATCAGTGTTGGGTGCTCCGTGCCCAGCTTTTGCTGAGTTGGCGACCCATTCGGATTGGGCATGTCCGCCAACCCAGGGTTGTATTAATGTATTTTGTTAGGCTGTTTTCACGTTATTGTTTTGATTAATTTTATTTTTATTTTATTTTGTTGTCCTGTTACTTCAAACTTTTATTGTTTTGTTTTTTTTTTATTGTTGTATTTTTTTGTTTGTTCTTGGCCTTCATGTCTCGGTCCGAATAAAAACAGTTTTCTTTCTTTCTTTCATAAAAATCTTTAGTCCAGGTTTTCTAACGATCTCGGTTCGTCAACGTTAAAATAAACTTAAAAAAAGTACATATAACTGTTCTCCGAGCTATACGTACTTCTTAGCAATCATAGCAAGTATATGTACTTGCTGGAAGTAAAAAATCTTCCCCAACCACTAAAAGCCGGCGGACTAATCTCCGGATCACCACGACAATAAAAAAATAAAAACATCTATTCTAATGTGCTACTTTACTACATAATATATCTAACTGCCAGAGATATATTTTAATGATTATTTAAGCAAATACTAAGTAACAATTTTGTTCCTGAAACAAATGTCAAGGAAAATTTTAATATACGACTGAGAGCTTTGCTGAAAAACAATGTAATGTCTATCGTCATAAATTACCAGAAATTGAAATAAAGAGTCACCTCAAAAGTTAAATATGGTATGTGTTAGAAAAAATGTGACAACTGAATACCCGGAACACGAAATGTAGGTAATATTTCAATTCATCCACATACCACGACGTATCATGTATATGTATACACACATACTTCTTAGATTCAGTTTACGTTCTCAAATAATATATTTCATTTCACTTCACGCGGCGACAGTACTTCCACAGCGAATAGAATCACAATTCTTTACTGTAGCGCACGTTAACTCGTTTTTGCAAAAATGAAAATACTTTCTGAAGAGACGATAGAAAAGTATTCCAAGACCATTGGTGATAGGAATGAAGTTGACAAACTAGTCATACTGCCACTGTGTGTCCAGGATATTCTGGGTCATAACGTTTTAAACCCAAAATGGAAATGGACGACTAGAATCCCACAGCAACTTTTCCTTGTTTTCTTAATAGTTTATGTGATTTTGGGGACCAATGACTATTTGAAGGACGCGACGGATATTAATGACATTGGCGAAGCATACTACACCTTCATTATCATCCTATTTTTCCCAATCAAGTATATGCTCTTCATACAAAATCGTTTTACCTTACGACAATTGTACGCGATGGCAAAAACGACATTACTGGATATGATAAAAAGTGACGCCGATGAGAAGTTAGAGGAATTGTTTGCTAAAATAAAGTTGGCAGTCAAAATTTTGTTTGGGACAGTATTTTGGTCGATTTCAGTTTATTTTATGGTTGCTATGTGGAATTATGTTCAGGGTACAAGAGTGACTTTGTCAAAGTCTACTACGACCTTAATGCCGATGACGAGTCCGTATTATGAGCTCGGTTTAGCCATACATACGGTATTTCTTTTCGAAATGGCATTCACATACTGTGTGATAGACTTTTGGTTTGTGTTGCTTATGTTTTCCTTCTGTACGGCTATTGATAGTACTATAAATAGATTGAAGATTGAAGGCAAGAAGTCTGACGAAACTGATGAACAGTACATGGATCGTCTCAACGATGCTCTCCGAATATTTTATAAGAATCATTCTAAAATTATGGAGTAAGTTTCTTTTGGATCTTTGAAAATATACTGACGAAATAATGTCTGCGTTCATTTAGAAGTTATGAGAAAACAATTGAAATTAAAACCTGCGACAGCAATGATAATGAAACTCATAAGAGATCAATAAAACACTGAATTATGGGATCCTTTATACGTAAATATTTAAATTCTGTTTTTTTTTTATTCAGGTTTTTGTACATTCTAAGCGAAACATACAAGTGGCCATCGATTATTCCAATATTGGGAATCCTGCTCGCTTTCTGTCTCATATTACTGTGTATGAGTGTGGTATGTAGCGTTTTTTTTTTTATTGTTGATAATTATTTTGACTAATACTAACTATACTAACCTTCTTTACCTCAGAATCCTACACTACTTCTCGCCCCTTCCAAGGAAGGAAAAGGCTTGGAGGATTTCTGCTTTCAAAACAAAACTCCTGACGCTGGTGAAAATTTTATATATTTCACAATAATGAATTTATCTATTTTTCTTTCTAGGAAGTACATTGGATGTTTTTATCAAATTTGATTCCTACAACGACGGAACTGTTCGCCTACAACTGGTTCGGAGATCAAGTCAAAGACAAGGTAACTTATGACCCTTCAATTTACCACTAGAGGCGTTCGTGTAGCGTTAGGTCTTTTTTACTAATAGCTAATTTCAAAAGATAGAAAGACATGTTTTAAAGTTTATTTGCATTCATTATCCTCATACATGACCTTGTAAATATATATAAATAATAATAATAAATAATAATAATTACACTTTATTGTACACCAAAAGAGTTGACATGCATAGTACAAAATGAGTGAATCCAAAGTACTGGGTACAAAGGCGGCCTTATCGCTAAAAGCGATCTCTACGAGGCAACCTTTAGGTGGACGGAGTATTGTAGTAGTGGGTAGTATAAATAATTCTATATTCAAATTTATCTCATCAATGTTAGTTACCCAGACATAGTAAAACCTGCTTTTAAAATGAAAATTATACATTTTGGCAAACCACCGCTTAATCATTCGTAGTACAATCGATATAAACCTCACTTTCAAACAATATTTTCACGTATATACGTGTATTTTGCAGTATAAACCTTTCACTATTACTGACCGTGAATTACCGAGAATCTAAAACTTATGTATATTTGTACAAGCACCATAATAATTTATTCAACTTTATTTAAAAGGGCACAGCGTTAATCTTGGCCCTATCCGAATTCGATTGGCCAAACATGAGAAACAAAGACAAGAAGAATTATTTAATAATGGTGAGTTACATGAACAAGGAGTTTCGCATTAAAACTGCTTTGGGATACGACTTGTCTCTGGTTACGATGAGTTCAGTAAGTGTGAATGCAATTTATTTCTTTGTGCGTCTCGTCTATGTATTTTTCTGTATAAACAGTTTTATCTTTATAATATGTTTTTTAATAATATTATTTCAAGGATTCTATTCTATAATATAAATCTATATACAAGTCTATACTCGATACATTTATACCTCAAATTTGACAATCTTCTTTGTACTTTGGAGGAATAATGAAAACCTATGAGTTTATAAAATATAATTATGGTTATTTATAAGATATTATATGCGTATAATTTTACCCTAATAAACGTAATCTAGCAATTTATAACAAAAACAAAAAACTAATTCACGTGAATAATATGTTTTCATACATTTTCAGGTATTCAAAGCGAGCTACCAAACATTCGCTGTTCTTAAAACAGTGGATCACTAACCAGACATAAACTATTAAATACAATATTTAAAATGTTAACACACATTTCCTTCACTTTCAAGCACTTTTAAAATTAAACACAAATATACTAACATGTCACTAAAAGAAAATAAATAATGAATCACGAAACGTATTTTATTTCTTTACTAAAATCAGTTTACACATTGGTAATTAAATTTAATAATAAAATATTTTAGAAATCATACAACTAGAATGTAAGTTAATATCTAATTTATTCTGCAATTTGACAATAGGTCATAATTTTTATTATCATCAGCATCATCATCAGCCTATAAGTGCCGACTAGTGACCAAAGGCTTCTTCTCACACGGAGAAGGTTTGAGCATTAATCACGACGCTTGCTCAAGGAGATTAGGCGATTTCAAACTTATAATTAGAAATTATAAGTCCAGGTTTCCTCACGATGTTTTTCTTCACCAGTCATTGTTGTCTAAATAATCATAGAAAGTACATATAACTTGGAAAAAGTCTGCCTTAAAACCCTCATGCATGAGAACCGGGTGCTATAACCATGCTACCACGACAACAGTAGGTAATATCTGGATATGGATTGAATCGGCAGATTTTTTTTTTTATGTAATTGGTCGGCATACTAGCAGACGGATTACCTGATGGTAAGCAATCAGCGCCGCCCATAGACACCCGCAACGGAGGAGTTACGAGAGCGTTGCCAACCTTTTAGGGATTAGGGATTTGGAGATTTAGGGATTGAGGAGGGATTGGGGGCGGGGAAGGATTGGGCCTCCGGTAACCTCACTCACACGGCGAAACACAACGCTGTAGTTGTTTCACGCCGGTGAGTCTCTGTCCCGGCCGGTCTGTGAGGCCGTGGTATCACTCCGGTCGAGCCGACCCATTCGTGCCGAAGCATGACTCTCCCACAAATTAAAAAAAATAAGTCATAACCCATACAGATCCAACCTTAACATTTGCAATAGTCTAAGAGTACTATTGAATTATACATACCTATATAATAAGGTTTTCTGAAATGTCCACGAAAATAGAAAATATTCAGCAGCTTTTGTCCAACACTGATATACTAAATTTCTGTGAACTCACTCGAAAGTAACATCGCTTTGAATTAGAAATACAGAAGTTGGGGGTATGCTTAGTAATTTCAAGCACTACAATAACATGAAAACTAAAATAACCTTTTTAACCGAAGCCAATAAAATATGCTACTAAAGTTTGAAACCGAAGTAAAATATGCGAAAACTAAACTGATTTTGAACGTGACTTTACGCTCGAAATCCATTTAAATACTCGGCAGTTACCCGGAACCGCTTTGAACCGCTTTCAACTGGTCTGAACCGATTCAGACCAGTTTGATCTGGATCAGTGTTAGGTGTGCAATACCGTGAAAATGCTTTACGATCATTGCCACGGAACGTTTATAGCTGAGTTAAAATTCTCGCCGACTGTATTCTACTTTGACGTACTATGAGTTTTCGAATCTCCCTTTGTGGGAACATTTTCAACTAGATTTACTTCGACCGAGAGATTTTGCCTCCGTTCAAAAAAGCGCATTGAATACCGTTGATATATCTTAAATAAGGGAACATTATCCACAAAATAAAGATTTATAACCTGTAAGTTTTAACCGCGACCTCGGCTCGGAGCAGGATAAGCGATGGGTAAGTTTCTTTTGGATCTTAGAACAAAATAATAGGACGCTCTAAACCGTCTGTGTTAATCCGAAAGTCAGTGGGGGAGACCAATTTTCGGCACCTACGATTTGTGACCACTGACAAGGCCTGTCACTTATAACCGTGGCCCCAGTTCGGAGCAGGATAAGCGACGGGTTGGTTAAAATATTTTTATCGAAAATCTAGTAGCATTTATTTACTAATGTAACTTGATAGAACAAAAAACCTGTCCACGACACTATTACGTTCTAGTTACTTGAAAAATCGAACTTTTAAAATATATCAGCACAACTTATTTGAAATACGTAGTAGTGGTTCTCAGTAATCCCGTGAGGTAAGTGTGGTAATTCAAACTCTTTCCGCCCCCTCGCCCCTCGGAGACCATACATGTGATGATTGAACTCAGCGACGTGGCGTAGCTTCAAATAAAATAGTACGCCATTGTACGCCGTTATTTTAAAACCTTAAACTTTTCTAGAAAACCGAAGTTTTCTTTGCGGTAAAGTGAATTCGGTTTTTTATGAAAGAGCGGTATATGGCATGTGAAAATTGGAATCCTTCCATCAGGAAAACTTTCTTAAGAAAATATTATGTGTTTGGAAACAAATGCAGATAGATTTTCGTTATCACACGCAGCATCATAGCTGATATCAACAGCCTATAATTACCTACTGATGCGCAATGGCATCTTCTCACACAAAGAAGGTTTACGCATTGAACGTGACAATTGTTCAAGGATAGAATAGAAATTAGAAATGATAAGTCCAGGTCTTAAATCGATGTTTTCGTTTACCGTGGGTCAATATTAGTAATTTTCCAAATAGTCGTAAGTATACACAAGTCAGAAATGTGATTACATTGGCACTGGGCCATCACCCTCATGTAAGAGAAACGAGCAGGTGCCTTAACCTCGGATCCACCACGGCAATTATACACTCGTAGCACACATTGTCCATGTACATAATTTCCACCCAATTATGTGACTTACAATATAGCATACTCAAAACTGTAACAAAAGACCGCCTGGCTCAATATACTGAATTCCATTGATTCATTAAATTACGCAGAATCCATTATCTATTAATCAACGGGAAAACGCGGCTACAAATCGTATAAAGACATTAATTTTGTATCAATGAACTTCAGAAACTCTATGTATTGTTTCTCTTTTGTAAATCACATAGCTTTAATCTACGAATAAAATGTAACTGCACAGTTGTCGAGGTGGCGCATGGAACTCTTTGTGTGATCTACAAATTGTTGCAGGCAGTGGTTGGGTATGGTGTGTATTTGTAATTCTCCACAGTATAAAAGAACATATAGGGTAAGGCAGCGTGCTTGTAAAAACAAAATATTTTTAATCTTCAGGTGGTGTTAAATGCTTTCCATCACAAAGATCAAGGTTCTTGTCGACTAACTAAAAATGAGATTGCACAATTTTCCCCTCAACTTTCCTTTGTTTTATACAATGAAACAATGTATTTATTTTTGCAAATAGACCATAAAACGGATCTTTTACACGTCAAAGAACCTTCTTCTAATTTATCTTAGAAGAAATACAACAATAAAGAATTAGCAAAAGGTCCAAGCGTTGATAAGTTACGCGCTTATCAACAATTTTGCGATTATTTAGATTATTTAATATAACATTTTCAAATCAGTAGTTAAAAAGGTTATCCCCATTCAAAATAAATTTACTGCTGGTAATTGTAAAAAAAAATACCATCGTTCACTTTTCGAAGTCGGTTAAATTGCAAATGAGTTTCCCTTCGAATTGTGTGTGGTCATTTGAGTGAGGTTTGACGTGAACTTTAGCATATTACTGTTATTTCAGTCATTGCCTTCATTATGTGCGGAGATTGGTACCCATAGTAGTTCTGTTGCCAAACCACTTCCTAAAGAGTTTCTTCACCTGTGTATATGTGATTGCATAGTGTAGTATAATAGGTATTTCATAACAAACAAGCAAAAATTCGATGTCAATATGTTTTTGTATTGGGTAGGATTACCAGATGGTGAGCAGTCAGTGAGATGGTCAACACCAAAGGAATTACGAGTGCGTTGCCGGCCGTTTAGGGATAAAGGTTTCAGATATTTAAGGATTAGGATCGGATGTACGGAGGAGGAGGAGGGATTGGGTACACACCTCGAAACACAACGGTGTGGTTGTTTCAAGCCGGTTTTTTGTGAGGTATCACTCCGGTCGAGCCAACTCATTCATGCCAAAGAATGGAAGAATCATCCTTGTCTTGTCATACGAGCCACAACATCATCAAGTGTCTAACTACGGACAAAACAAATACGATATACAATAAATGAAAATTCCTTCTTAAAAGGCCGGCAAAGCGCTTTTGATTTATCTGGGCGGTTTTTTTTTTTGTCAGAGGAAAATCATCAAATGACTTCTCCCGCCCAGGGCCGGGCGGGAGGGAATGTCAGACTCTTACTGACTAAAAACCCCCCTGCTCCTTCTTCTGCTCTGAGGTCGCGGTGCCTCATTGCACTTACCCCGCAACCCCGGCTGACCATAAGCCCTATAGGGCCCCGTCTGTGGTGGTCTATTGGCTCTTTAAGGGCTCGTACGCTCGGGCTTGGTTCTGACCGGGCGGCGAGCTGGTGCCACGGGCGGTGCAGGTTGCTTACCATCAGGTAATCTTTTGTTTAAAGTATGGCACCCGACGCAAAATAATCTGGAACTATTGAATAATCAAATTTCATAAGCTAACGTTTCCAGTCAATTATCAGATGTGTAAAAAAACTATCATTGTAAAAAACATGTTAAATCTCCCGAGGGATGAAAAAACTAAACACAACAAAATTAATGTAGTCATGCCGAACAGTAATTACCCGGAAAAAGAAAAATATTATAATACTTTACAATATTGCGGAAGAATGATGGCGAAATAAAAAATTTGAGTGTGCACAATATATTTAAAAGTAAAAGAGAGAATACTTTTTATTTCCCGACGATTACCTGCAGTTCGTTAAGAGCTTAAGATGTAGCTAATAAAGAGAAAGAAATTAGGGGTTCCGTAGTTTATTATTTATTTCAACTGTCTGTGAAAATTGAAGTTTTGTGGAAAGTGTTTAATTCTTTGGAACACAAATTTGAATGATGCGAAATTCCCACACGGAACAAGTCTTTGTATGACTCACAAATTGTTCCGGGTATCATGTGTATATGGCAAGGTAACTCACGATACAATGGAAAATAACAGTGTGGCGCAACGTTCTCAAAATAAATAAGATAACATATAGAGTAAGAAAGAAGGCCCTCTTTTTTAATAACTGTGCTTTTAAAAGTCTATAAATATGAATAACCTAGATGATGTA